AGAAAAAAAATACCAAGCAAACTTTCTCAGCTTATATGTAGATGTTGTTTTTATCTTCCATAGGCATTTTTTCTCAAACGTTTCCGTAGGCCGTAGGCGGCATACTAAATACGTTTTAAGCAAAAACAAAAGCGCATAATCTATAGATATAAATTATGTATGTATCCCAGAGTATAGAAGCCATTGTTATCCGGTAAAATATTACTATGGTACGGTGTGACCCGTGAAGGTGTTCGCAATTCCGGTAAACAAAATATGATATGTGCTAAATATAAAATATATACCAAAAGTGAACAAAATAAACCAAAGAAAAGGATTACAAAATAACCTAAAATCTAGGTAAAATAAATAGAATATGAAATAGCATATCTGCTTCGCATCGAAGCTAATAATAAAATAAGCCTCCTTGTTTTAAAGAATACCTAATCGTTGACAAAATTTTCTTTTTAAAGTAGGCTGTAAAATTGTCAAAAATTAGACACAGGCTATGCTTATTGTTGATGAAAGTGATTACAAGCCAAATAAAGGACACGAGTGACGACTTTTCCTATAACTCGCTTTTGGTCACACATTATATTCATCGTACTTACATTTTCTTTATTTCGCAAATTTTTTGACTAGATATTTGAAAATTAAACCGATAGTAGATTTTGTCAAAAACACTTTCCATTCTAGTTTGTATAATTTTTTACTAAATATTTTAACTACGCTGAAATTAATGTCAAATGTTTTCACTTTTAAAATATAATAAAACCATTGCAATTACCTGAGACTAAGATATCAAGAAGTAAATAGTTATTTTTTAAGAATAGGTATATCAAAATTGTGGACCTCGTTTCAATGCTGGACAGAACAGAAGTTTACTATTTAGCTATGCCCAACTCAAATGGCCGCTTCATAGCGATTAGACGTTATGATAAGTAACCGCCATTACATAAATAACCTAAATAATAATACATTTATTTACACAAGATGTACACAGTCATGGGAATACTTAAGATTCAATGAAAAATATATTTACTTCGAATTATAATAACTAAATAAATATATATATTTTTTTTTTTTTGAAGAAAAAGCCCGGGGTTAGGATAGAGCCCCTGTTGCTGCTGCTGAGTGCCTTATCCCTAATGAATCTCTCTCCATTCAATTATTTTGGTGGGAATATTCGAAATGTTCACAACGTAAATCGGCACAAAGAGATGAGTTGTATGGAATTTAAATTCGATTATTGCGTATGACCTAAATTAAAATTAATTACGTTTGATTAACGGTAATCGAATAATCCCCAAGTCGTACAGTTATTGAGTTATGTATATTCAAAGTTCGAACTTTGGACAATTTGTATTGTTGACAGTCCATGCCTGTCAACAATAGTCTAGTCTGTCATCTGTCTGGTATAATATAGTAAATGATTAAACCCCAATTCATTGGTTTTGTGCACTGTACACTCAACAAGATAACTAGGTGACTTTTATTCTAGAATTTAAAATGGGGGGGGGGGGGTGTTCATACTTCTACTGGATAGGTCGTGCAACTATACCATGTTTTAATATTTACTACTTGCGATTTAGGACAAATGTCTTACACAAAAAGGGTGTTTTGGGCAGTTGGAAATAAAACGGTTTTATGTAATTAACCTATTCATTAATATCTTATACATATGTAATTTAAACAAGTTTTTTCAGACTATTCGATTGTTTTATTTTATCCGCTCTCTCTCTCTAACACTGATCGCTATTAATGTCTTCATCTACACACGTTCAAAAACAAGGATGGGCTAAAGCCGAAACTGGATGATCACGTTGTCTTACTGACACACTCTTAACACTGTTTTTCAATAAATATTTGATTTTTTGGCCATCCAAATAACCGTAGCGAAGCTAAACACTTTGAACTGAAAACAAGCCAATAAGTAGCTGACACAACACAATATGTTGGGGGCAAACGAAACACGCGCTACCGGTCACGTATTACACTGTTTTTGTTAAATGTAGCGTTATGTTTTTGACTAGAAATGAAAACGTTCTGAAAACTTGTGAACAGGATACCAGAAAATAAATTTGTTTGGTCCACAGTGTTAGTTTTTCATTTCAAATAATAAACACTCTGATTTGTGAAATCAACCCTAATTGTTTACAGCCATTAGGCTAAAATACAATTTAGAACACAATATTGTCGTTACAAAACTAATCGATATTTGTGTTTTTACCATGTACAGATTCGATTTGAAGCATTTGAAAGTGATTTTATCACTTTAAGTCATAATCATTTTCTGCAGACCGTTGTGACATTAGACATACTTCTCCCCAATATGATCCGTCCCCACTTAAAGACCTTCTCTCCATTTATCAATGGTTTTATTGTTTAGATAAATTTGGACATAACTTAAATTATTCACTTAAATTATTTTTATTATTTTGTTATAATAAACTGTAATACTATTTTTAATTAAAATTTAAAGTACTATGTATCGTTATTTAAAAGGGCTTGTTTTGTAGAAAATATAGGATATGCATATTTCTAAGAAATATGCATACTTATTAGATGAATGATGATTATCTGTACTTGTCTATTCTGGACGTTGAACTATGGGAAGCATTTCATCTCCTACGACTCCTCCAATAAATCTTCCTCTGTACTTAGGTGACAGGTTTGTGGTTATTAACATATTCCAAAAATCATCGTAGGCAGGTGTACTGAAACCAATAAATAATATAATGCGAAATGGTGATTACTATAATTTGTATACATTCTATGTATTAACAAAGATAAGTATTCATTAAAAAATGCATGTGGTCTAAAATTTTATTGAACGTTTAATAAAAAATAAATTTTATAGATAATTAGATACTACTATAGAGTACTTATCCAAATCTATCTGAAAAACCATTTGCTGACCGATTGATTTTTTTGTTTTAAGTACCATATAGTAGGTAGGCGTTATATTTTTGCTGTCAATTCCTAAAATAAAGTGGTGAAGATTTGACCCACAAAAATAACAGGTCAATCGTGTTTATATTATGTATACTGTGTAATATTAAAGTCATCAGGCACAACACAAAGTACAACATTGTAAAATTATAATAGGCTTATCTTGACATCAAAGCGTTGATAAGAATACTCACTTTCGTTTTATAACTCCAATCACATCTGTCAAACATAAACGTGTCTTACATAATAATATTAATATATGTATTTGTATTTATCTATTTACCTGATGGTCTTATACCCATTGGCTTAACTAATAATGGGTCTCTCCACAAATTGGTTCGAGGTTAAATTACAACTTGTTTTCACTTTGTACAAGTTAACTAAACAAATTTTTGTGCAGTCAAAGGATATTTGCCAAATTAAATAGGTTTAACTTTTAAATACCAAGTTTTCACTATCTAAGTTAAATTATTTTTTTTAGAAATTTTTATTTTGTGTAATCTGTTTAAAACCGTATTATTTTTTTAACTTTTTTTTTTTGTTCTTATAAATATACCTACAGAATTTTTTCTTTATCTTTGCAAAAAAACTGCAAAGGTCTACGATACTTTTGCAGCTTTTGTATATGTGTATATTACTTAAATCTAAATTTAAAAAAAGGCATAATACTTGAATTAGGGTTCGGATTCAATCCATCTGCAAGGGAAACTCTTAATTAGATTTTATCTGAGAACCTATACTATTATACTTTCACCTGAAGTCACTAACATCCAATAGGTATCGGTCGCTGAAATAATAAAAAAAAACATTTATAATTTATGTACTAACCAATCAACTACGATACTGATGATTAATACTAAAACTTGTTATCCGTCTTTGGTTTTAATGAAATACGTTAGATTGAAATTTCAAAAACTACCCACGACAAAAAGAAAAATTACCCTTTTTAAAAAAGGTTGATAATACTTGTTTTAACGCCGAGCGGTAAGGTACCGGTTATATTTATTCAAGTATAATTAAACTATACCAACATGTGTTATATTGACACGAGACACCTTATCGACTTTCGTTCAGTTAAAAAACGTATGGTTTACAATTTATAGTGTAGAGAATTTAAAATTAACAGTACTGAAAAAACACCATCATTTAAGCTAAATTGAAGAACGAGTCACTAATATAAAATCAATATTTGAACAACACCGAAACTGTCCTTGTTGTCGTTTCTTACTTTAATAAGACGGAAAAAAAATTGAAGCGTTTTTCAAAATTCGGTTGATTTGGTAAAATTTTATACATATATGTGTAAACAAAAATTGTTTTATAATGCTGACAAAAATATAATTACAATTCTCTTGTCCTTCTTTACATAAAACTATATCGTCTGTCTCCAAAATGCCTAAGAAAAAGGCATAGATTAAGTAGGTACACATGCATAATAATATAATCCATACATATTTGTGATGTAAATATTTTTTTTTGGTTATAATTTTCACAATACTATTAAATTACCAAATCGATCCGTCTACATTTTCAGCAGTAATCTAAATAGCTAATATTGAAATATAAATTTAAAAATTACAAGTTTAAAAACTGCTCTAATAAATATTAAAAAATAAAAACATTTTTAAATTTTTATCATCACAACAAATCTGTAGCTACCACCCTCTTTTTTTAAAAAACCCCACAAAAAAAAAATAATTTATCCTTTTTTGAAAAAAGAACATCAGATTATGGACATGTCTTAAGGCCTTGATCGCTTTGGTTCACTAATTTATTTATAACTGACCTATTGTTATCTACATTGAATTACTTATCGACCTCTAAGACCGTTACTATGTCACTCGTTTGTATTAAAATATTTGGTTTTCCCCTTAACATTTTTTTTATTAAATTTTTTTTACTGACCCCTAAACATATTTTTAAATTAAATAGTAAATAAAAATGTATTTTAAGTCATTAATTTTGGTAAATAAATTGTTTGTTAGTTCAATAATAACTGTCCAGGTATGCTGACTGCTCAATTGATTGTTTGGTAATCTAAAAGAAGTTGTATAATGTGATCCTATAAATGAACCTATATAAGGATGAATTTATTCAATATTTCATTTAGTTCAGTTTATAACAATTAATTGCCCCATGGCTTATATTCATGCATTACATGTTGACAAATTTACATTTCTTAAGTCTAAAATATACATTTGGAACATTGTAAATCAGCAACAACATTTAATATCATTTTTCTTAACTGCACGTAGGTACAGTTGTAGCAGTTCATATTATAATAATTAGGTATGTATAGGAATAGGTTGCTACATTTTATTTTCTATTGACACAACTTTCCTTTATTACAATTTACATTTTTAAAAAAATAAAATTAACAAATACCAATAATAGTAATTAACCATTAGTAACACTGGGGTTTTAAAAATAATTTTACAATCATTAAAAAAAAATATAATCACATGACAATATAAACTACACAGAATTTTTCCCAAAAGTTACCATAGTTTTCAGTTATATACAAAAAAATGTACTAAAAATAAATAAAGATTTAATTATAAATTATTACACACAATATTTTTGTTATAATATAATTTAAATAATATCTATATAGTCGTGTGTTTGAGGACACTTTCGTTGCAATCTAACTTAATAAAGGGTAATTTAGTGCTCATTATTTTATTGTATTTTACACACATCGTACTGAACATATTATGCGAAAAATTAAAACTAATTGAGCACTAAAACGATATTGAGAATTTTAGGGCTTCTCAAAATTTCATTACGAATTTTTTTTTAAACGTTTCATATTAAATATACATTTAAAACAATAATCTACAGTCAATTCAATTGACTGAAAATAACATTTAATATTCAATTTGAAAATGCTATTTTAAAGGAAAGCTTTGGAGGGTATATGACAAGAAGCCTTGTGTACAAACGGGTTAAACGGTTAACCGTTATCAGTTGGCACGAGGATAAAAATAATATTACTGTCTACCTTCCTCCCTTTATTGCCATCTCTCAAATTATTTTTAAACGCCAATCATTGATGATGTATTTTTTTTTCCAAAACAGGCTAATGGTTATTGCCATTACTGCGGTTGCAGTATAAACGCGGTAATTACATTCATCCCACACCATTGTCCCGTTTAAATTGAACTAATAAAATATGAATTCGAGATTTGAAATGTTTCACTCCAAATAATTGCCCTTTAAAATTTAATTTTCAGTGCAAACGTTAAAAATTATTTTAGTCAGTAATTATAATAAATCAACATTTTATACGAAACGATTTCGGTCGGAATAATTAATGAAAAATGCATAATATACATATATTATTAACGGTTAGGCTTACAATATTTACAGCCGTAAAATTGTACCAAAAAGCGCGTGGATGAAATTTCTCGTGGCTAAGTACCTAATAGGTTTTTATTTATCTTACTATTTTGGATCACTCGAAATCTATAACCGAATCTATATGTTTATTACACCTTTTTACAAAGATTATGTCCCAAGAATACAAAAAAAATAAAAATAATAAAACCACGAGAAATATAATTTGCTCACTTTTATATATGAAATGAAAAACACTAAAAATGTTAACCGCCATTAAAAACAAAATTACCTACAATAGTAAAATATAATACCAACGCAAATTTGAGCTAAATTTATGACTTTTTCAGCTTAGTAAAATTATATTTTCTAGAAAAATAATATTAAACTATAATGTTTCACTAGTGAATACTACTTTTTAATAAATTAAAAAGTTCAAATAAAACTCAATCGCCAAATGGTTTACCTATCAAAAGGCGTGTACACTATTATTATTTACAGTATAAGTTACAGTACACTTTTATTCGTAACAGCGTATAATATGTTCATACTTGTGTTTTGTCTACAAATTATTTCACACAATAATATAGTTAAGGACTTAGTATCAATAGAAAAAATAAAACAATGGAACTTTTCAACCATACAATACTTGAGTGGACCATTCATACTGGCGATCTCCAACGAAATTATACAGTTCTACACAATTTAACAATTACTTTCAGTAGGAATCCCCTGATACAAAAACATACACACAATAAATTAAAACATAATTTTTATTAATTAAAAATAACTAAAATATAGACTATTGTGGTGGACTAGGGTAATAATTAAATAAAACACTTTTAAACCTTAAAGGGGTAAGATGAGAGTAAAACAAAAGTGACTGAAACGAGAACGTCTTGGGCAATCTCAATACATCTAATGTGAGAGGCCAGATATAATTAGGAATGGTTATAAAGAAGTAGGGTTAAGTCAGGTTGGAGTTTTGGGGAGAAGAAATGTGAGAAACAGGTGTCTCTTCCTGGTTAGTATAAAATTTAAACGAAAAACAAGATAGGTTAGGTTATTCTTGAAATGTTTGTATAGTATGGCTTAAGTTCATGAACTTGAAATGAGTTAGATGAGGTTTCAGTAAAAATATTAGATAAGATCGAGAGAGACACAAAGTGAGAGTAACAAAAGGAATACAACACTCGTCTGGCCTTATATATTTGGAATGAAAAAGACCTTCTAACAAAATGTTTTAAGGAAACCCATAATTCGAAATTTAAAAATACTTATACATTATTACTGTAAAGGTAATATAAAGTAAAGGAATTTTCAACATGGAGTTTAATGTAAGAGTGAACAAATTTTTGGAGTGTTTCGTCATAAACTATAATAATAATTTTCCTAATTAAATTATTAGATCCCTTTCTGAGATGTTTTTAAATGAACCCCATCGGCTTGTTTATGTTAAATTAAAATCCAATGACTTTACTTGGTACTCAGATTTTAATAAACAAGTAATAATTGGTCGAAATTTCAAGATAAACATCAAACATGGCATACCAACGCACACAAGTACATTTTATTTTGTTTGGGTATCCTAGTAACTTGGTTGAGTGTAAATGAAATACTTGTAATAATTGAAAACTGTGTATTTCACGAGAATATACTTGTTGCAGTATCTTTGGAGATTCACCCAAGCCATTATTAAATTTTTATATTGTTAAAAATAACAGCCGCCGAACTCTTCGAATACTTTGATCAAATAGTTTTTCTTTTCAAATTTTTTTATTCGTCACTCGCATTATTTTATTTCCAGAGAACGATATTTGAACGTGCCGACAAGAAGAAGGTTCAGGACTAATTAGAACCACGAATGAATGGACAGGTGTTTGCCAATAAACAGTGAAGCGTGGAAGAACACTGTAGGATTAGGTTGACCAATGTTCGAAAATGGCCAATGTTCGATTTGGGGAAACACAATGAAATTGAATATTGCAATAATTTGTCAGATAATATACATATTTAGCATATTTCTACTTTACATTGAGAAGTATTGTTGTAACAGTGGTTGACCTCATTTGGTTGTAGTAATTTTGTTTTAAGCCATATTTTTACAGTAGTTATAGAAGACTATTTTATTTTTCTAAAATCGAAATAACGAAATAATATTTTATTTCGAGCTTATAAAACAGTTTTTTTTTTCCAACTAACAAATTTAGTTAACAACAAATAACGCAATTTAATAGAATGAAATTATTTTTTCTGCGCCCACGACTAGTGGTGTAAACGTTCCAAGATATGTTCCTTTCGGTTAACTACCAGACGTTTGATTCTTTTGGAATGCGACTTAAACGTTTATTTATTTTGAAACACGTTCCAGGAAACGTTTGAGGAATCCGTTTTTTCTCGACACCGAAAATCTCAGAGTCGAGCAGAAACCGAAAAAAAATACACCAAAAGTGCTCTCACCTGCGTTGTTGTGTAATTGATCGTACGTCTTAAGATGTATATAATTGTGTCGCGTCTAAACGTGTGGAATGTTTCGGCGGTGTTTCTGCGACAGTAATAATAATAATAGTAATAGTAATAACAAATATTGTCGTTTATATGCCGTTGACGGGGTCGTGCACCCCGCACGTGAGCACCGTTGTGGTGGTGTTGTACTCGGGCTGCCTCTTGAACGTGCTCATGAGAACGTTGGACGACGAACGTTCGTGTACCATCATGCGTTCCTTGGGCCGGGTGCCGTTTTTCCGGCGCATGTACCCGTTCTTGGACTCGACGACCGTGCCCGGCGACTTGACCAGCCACCAGAACAGCTGCCGGTCGAAGTGCTTGCGGAACGTGCCGCTGACCAGGTACAAGGCGATGGGGTTGATGCACGAGTTGCTGAAGCACAGGCAAAAGCCGACAATGCGGAGCACGTGCCAGAATGTGTTGTACTCGTCTTCCACCCGGGGGTTGTTGTAGAACCACAGCATGAACACGTGATGGGGCAGGAAGCAAACGGCGAACACCATGACGAACGCCAACACGGTCTTGGCCACTTTCTTCCGGGCTCGCACCTGCCGCAGTTGTCCCTGTAACACGCCCAAAGACGAACGGTGTTAAATGATAATACATTATGTTAAGAGTGTATTTAATAATATTTGGTGAAACCGGCTGGTGTATTAACATTGAAAATTTCCCCTGACCCAGGTGGCAGCCATTTTGTGTACCGATTTCATGGAAAGTAAAACGCTACGTTACTTTTCCATGGCATATATTATGAAAATGTTAGGTTAGGTGATGATAACACGATAGGCGTATTTATTACTAGATAGCCGACGTCAATTTTTCACAGAAGCTTGGCGGCCATTGCAGTGTGCTCAATGTTTATACTGTGTTAGCAATAATTCATTGTGGTAATGATATATAAGGTTTACTTAGTATAAGGTATATTGCTATACTAATTTTCGGTGTTGGTCGTTATCATATTTCTTATCATCTAAATCACACCAAAAACGTTTGTTTTTAAATACCACACCTCCATCACACCCTACCCATACACTTGACCCAGACACTACACTAATTAGTGTAAACTTTTTTTTTCAAAACGAACAAAGCTATAATGTAAACATTGACCACACTGAAATGTCTCCAAAAAGACAAATTACAAAATTGCAATAATTATTTTCCGAGGAAATGAGCGAGCAACGTTAAATTGACCACCCTATTTATTATATTCTATCATAAAAAAAATTATTTTTTTGTTTTTTGGAAAATTCAAAGACATGCACCAAGTCCCTTTTAGTATTAATCGATTCCAGTATTTTCTTATACTCAGGTGCGCAATCTGTATGGTGTTTATTTAATAACGGGTGTCCCGTTTAACCTAAGACTCAATTAACCTAATTTCACAGTGTCGCCTATACAATTATTTGTTATTTACCTTCTTGGTATTTTCCAGAGCGCTATCAACTTTTATAAATTAAACGAATAAATTTAAATTTAATTTTAAAAAAATCAGTAAATGTAATCGAAAATAATCCTATGTTTGATCAACTTGTTGAATCGTTTCATGAAAAACAGTAAACGTTAAAAAAAAATGTATTTAGTTTTATTTTTATTTAATTTCGCGTTTAGTATAATCATAAAATAGATAACACTTATATATTTTTTTAAACCATGTGTTTTAATTGTTAGTTTTGTACATCCGCTACATGGATTTTTTATTTTTGTAAGTTCAATCGATATTAGAAAACACTAAGCAATAAGCGCAGTTGTTTGTTTTCGAAATCCTGTTTTATAGGTCTTAATTAAAATCGTTGTGTTCACATAATATTATGTTTATCACAAACAAATGAATTATACTTTGATGAAAACTCGGAGTGCTCACAAGCCGGAACAATCGAATTTGATAAACGTCAACAATGATGTTGGTACAACAAAACGCAAGAGGCAAAGACTGTGTGTCAGATTTAATACATTTGAATCCGACAAATCTGCTAAATAATTATACAATAAAATCTAACAGACTCGACTTTTGAGCGTAAGCACCCTACCACTAGAGTAAATACAATTATTATCACATCAGCTAAAGATAATTTTCTTGATTGAAACAAAAATCTACATCACATTAAACATGTGGTAACCATTGGTACATTAAGTAAATGTGATGAAAACGAGCAAAACGGCAGTGAAAATAGCGTTTATGGGAAGACACTCAGCAGTACCTCCTGATTTAAATCAGTTAAATTAATGTAAAAAAAAAAAATCAACAAAACTTGCATTTCTAGATGGCATTTGAGATTTTTCCACGTTAATAGATTTGAGAAAAATTTCTTGAATTAAATTTGAGTTGTATATATTATGCAGCTGGATAAATTTTGATTAAGACATTTTTCATGAGTTTACCTTATTGTGGAACTTTTCTTATACAACTGACGTTTGCTTGATGTTCAATAAAATTGATTTTTACATGTTTAGTTTGCCTGAAACGGAATCCGAGATCTAAATAAAATTAATGTGTTATTGTGGACAATATTCGTCTTTAGTTTTGTTCAACATGTTTTCTAAAAATGTAAATACAAGTTAAAATCTTGAAATTTTTGAAAAAATATTCACCCGAAAAATCAAGTAAGTGTATGTTTTTTGGAAACTCCTATTTATCAAGTTTTCGGTTTTTAAGCAAAGGATATATAAAAACAATACCTCGACAAGAAATACAACAAGAGCCTATGTTATTTATTTCTTACAAATCACAAAGACTTGTGACAGTTAATTACGCTAATTACGATTTACCTGAAATCCAATTAAAAACTTAAAAAGTAATGTTGCTTTACAAATAAACGGTCTTCAATTAAAGATACGAATTAAATACAATTGTAGTTATGTTTTCTTTTAGATATAATATTTTTGAACATAACTCTTTTATTTTTTATTCTAATATTTACTTTGTAAAAGTTCTAACGACAATTAGTATGCTCAGACAATGCAAAAATGTTTATGACAGATTTTATTTAGACATAACCATACCTAACCTATTCCGAATTCTAGTGTGGGGCTAAACACCTAAAATTTTGCTAAAATTCTGTAGTCAAATAAGGTTAAACAGCTAAGTTTTCAATTAAAAAATTATACCGTTCGAATAATATTTATGATAAGTGGTGTATTCGTATAAATTGTTTCTGTTCACATTGGTCAACTGTGTTTTTTGGTAGTTATATTCACAATTTAATGCTGCCTATTATTCCTGCTCATGAATGTGATAACTTTTTCATGAATTGAAATTTTAAAATGTTTTATAATTAATTGCCGGATGTATCCATCTCTGAAGTTGATTTTACGCCGAAGACATCCGAAAACGATCCAATTGACATTAATAAAATATTAATTCGGTAAATAAACTCTGAACAAGGTCAGAGTAAATCATGTCAAACATTAGTATACCTAAAAAGTAACTTGTGTGTGCGAGGGTTCAAAGGTCCATTTATAGTTGGGAACTAACCGCGATTTTCCCGTTGGGACAGTACGTGCTCGTCATCAGTTTTCCTACCACAACTTAACGACAAACTACACTTACAACTGTGCGGTGTTTGCACTTGTTACTTTAATATCACAAATAACACAACCGAATGACTGAAATGTAATATAATCGAAAAATTATGCCTTTTAAAAATCCCAAAGAATATAAGCTTTGTTAAGATAATATAATATTTTGATACTGTACTTTTATTAAATAAAAATATTAATAATTAGTAAATTGTATTTTTTTTTTTATTCGTCAATTATACAATAATTGTATTTTATGTTATTCTTATCACCTTATCTCTTATCAGCTTACAATCCCTTATCAAACATTGTTGGTATCACTACAATATTCCTCATCAGTTGTTTTCCACTTATATCTTCTTATTCTAAATTTTTTTTTTTTTTTGAGGTAATTCGATTTTTGGATGTGTTTGTTAGAAAGTTGCCATTTCAAAAACAAATTATAATATATTAATATTAAATAACTATGCAAGTCTGATAATTTTACGCGGAGTCATTCTTTTTCTAATATTGTTTACTACCAAAATGGTTAAAACTAAAATAAAACGTACACCTACAAAAATATATCTTAAAGTTAATATAATAACATGAACATGACTTGAAATGATTGAAATTTATTTAAAAAAAAAAAAAATGATGTACCTCTTATTTTCTATATTTTGTTCCTTTGTAAATAAAACCACACGACTGGGACCCTTTTATAAATAAAATAATGTGTTTGGCAATAACATTTGCTTTTCAATTTACCATTTTAAACGCCAAGTCTCCCTAACAAGTGTACCCTAAAAACAGCCATTGTGAATAAAATAGTTCATAATTTTGTTATGACGACGTTGATAATATAATAATAGAAATTAATTGTAACGAAAAAATATTACAATGATCCAAACGGCTTTATATTTTCTAAAAACAAATACTAAAAGCAAATGAAATAAGTAGTAACAATGCGGAAAAGAACCTATTGAAAATTCACCGGATAAAATATGAAAGGCTAGCGAGACAGACAAAAGGCATAATATTATAGTTATTATATAAAAAAAATATATTATAGCACCCGACTAACATAATGTCGTATTGCTATGTATATTGAAAATTGATGTACATAAATTGTTATTATTATAAATAATAATATGCTTGCTAAGGGAATAGTTGATATTATTTATAGTTTTTGGAGGTTCGATTTATGATTTGTATCAAAATGTTTACCTTAGGACTACACTAACAATTTTGTGTAATCTGAGTCATGCTCGCAGTTTTTGAGTCCTAGGTCATCAAAATATTATTATTTGTCCCGTTCCAATATGACCTCTCTAACTGTTACATAATTGTTTATTTGCAAAAGCACAAAATAAATAAGAAGAAAATAAAAACATTAAACAATTTTTATTGATAGCATTTTCGTGTCAACATGGTAAAGTTGTATCGTTTATTAAACCAACCTAACCTGATTTAACTTATTTAACTAAGCAATTAAGTTGTCATATGTCTTCAGCTTTAATCATTTTGTCTAGTCGTTGGCACTTAATTTTGATTTATAATAAGCTAAAACTTAAAGTAAATAACGTCACTACTCATATCGTTTAACATCGAAATACATTTACTAGTAACATTCCTTTTTAATGCAACTGTAATGTATTAAAATTACATTTTAATTAAACAATTTTTTGAAGTTATTCAACCTTTTTTCAAAGAGTTATCGAGTATCCTACATTTTTGTTGAAGTAGGTTATATTACCTGTATACTTAATGAGTTCAATCATAAAAAGGAAATCATCACAAATAATCGGTCCGATGGTTAAATAAATAATGGTTCAGACACGAAGTTAAGACTAGTTAAAACAAATTAGTCTTATTAGAGACTTATCTAGAGTCTCTCAAATATTTAATCGATATAATAATTAATGTTTTGTTTAAGATCACTGGCACACATTACTTCAGTAAGATCAAAATATGTCCAGATGCGCCTCCTTATAACTCCTATTCACCTCTTATTATAATTAAGTGTTTTTAGAATATGTTCGGTGTGAAATGTTCAGTTAAGATCGGGAGCGGGTGGTTGTCATAAAACATACTCACGATTCGTTTCTTCTTGAAGAACTATTAAATAGTTATTTATACTTGATACAATATTTGGAAATGAATGTGTCTTATGACTGGGAGTCATTCAAAAATATGAGTCACGCGTCTGGATGCAAACCTAACCTATTCACACCTTCCCCATAGTGATAAGAAACAGCTTATAAAAGGTAAGTGATAACAGAATAGTGATAAGATACATCTGATAATGGCTTCTGATAAGAGATGAGTGACAAATGGATGGAAGGATAGGAGATTATAGATAGAAGAAGGAGGGAAGGGAAATGAACATAAACTTATAATTGACGTGACAGGGCGCGGTTCATCTGTTATATCCATCTTATACTTAGGTACCATAAGACATATGGCGTATGATCGAATGTTTTTCCCAGCTGTGACTTAAATAGAGAATAGAAGTCACAAACAATAAGTACCTTATGGCTGACTTGGACTTCGCCAGGCATGTTTTTCGTGCTTTGGATCAGATGTCTGGCCATCATGACGTAAAAGCAAGTGATGACGAACAGAGGCACGGCGTAGTAGACCAGGAACTTAACGAGCACCACCGTCTGCGGGTATATAGTCCCGAATTCCTCGGGATACGGATAGCAAGCTTCGAACAAGGTGACGTTGTTTTCCTGGAACGACCTGACGTAGGAGAACATGGCGGCCGGCAGGGCGCACACTATGGCCAGGCACCATATTGTAAGCGCTATGATGACGGTGAATCTGGTCGCTCTCCGCCCTCCGACGGACGAGTGAAGCTTTCGCATTGGATCCACAATGGCGAAAAATCTATCTGCGCTCAGAGCTGTCAACGTGAACACCGACACGCCGATGGATATGTCCTTGGTGGCTTCGGACACTTTGCAGATGATTTGACCGAACGGCCACGACGGCACCTGTAAACACAAAAAAAAACAATACATCTCAATGCTTCGATCGGTATAGCCACATAACCTGGGTAGAAATCCGAGTGTGGTAAGCCTTTACTAGTCACTTTTTATCAATTTTTTAAATGCTCTGGTCAGATTGACCCGACCTACCACGTTTTGGTTGTACAGTTCATTTCATTAATTTTGGTAATCGCAAATATTGGTGCTTTTTCAGCAGCTGATAAAAGCTGTTATCGTTAGACATTGACTTAGGACTATATTTTGGAGTTGACCTGTCATGTTAAAAAAAATATAGGAGACTCATGTTAAACAACTAATAGTTAGCTTTCAATTAAACTTGCACGAATAAATTCCTTTTTTTAAAGGTACTAGAATTTGAAATGAATTATTTTTTTCATAAAACAATATCCCAACACCGCCAAAATGGTCACACAACAATAAGTCTTCTTCAAATCCTTCATCCCCTCGTCATACAATCCATCCCGAATGGTTGAATTTCCATCTACTCTATTTACTACCCGCTCATCACTATAATGGATTCTCTAAATCTTTCTAAGCACCACTCATTACTAAACTAGTATACACTAATTATTTTTAACCAATGTAAAAAAAAATATCTATTGGTAATTGATTTGCACACGGATAGATGGCGTTGTGTAACAAATATACAATACTATTGCTCGCATTACGCTGTAGGAATTGCCTAGAAATATTCCGTTATTCCTATACCATTTCTATCCATCTCGTCCGACCGCATTTGCCACATTTTACCCACCACAAAGTACGTTGTTACTACAACATGGGCAGAACACAAAGATATAACGAATTGCATAATTACCGTGTAAACAATAGACGTAAAGGGAACACAGCTGACGATGACCAACAAATCGCCCAAAGCTAAACTGAGTATGTAAATGTTCGGCACGTTGATCATGTTTTTGTGTTTGAAGAAAATCATCACCAGCGATCCATTGCCGACGGTGCCGATGATGAAGATCAGAGCGAACAATATGGGCACGATATAGGTTTCCGGCCTCTCGACATAAGACGTGTAATCGTAAGTGTTGTTAGTGGGCATTGTGCTGTTGGCCGTGTCGTTGACGACATCTTGGATCATTTTTCTTCTAACCCGGCCTCTGCTAACAAGTGGAGAACATCTGAAACAAACCAATCATTTATAACGTACATACGTGGGTTACCAATATTGCAATATTATTTTCTTATATATTTTAAAAAATAGTCATATTCTACTTGACCAATTATTGTTATTGGGAGCTATTGAATTATACAAATTTTGGAAGCCAATTCAACAATCGAGGTGAGTTGATCTAAAATTTGGAACCAATTTAATGATCGCAGGGGAGGTGAGGGGAAAGAATAATGATGGAATAAGAAAGGATATATTTGGGATGCAGAGGGGAGTAATGTTAAAACCAAACCCTTGATTTAATGCTTTCGATCTTTGTGACTAATTTTAACTGTTTATATGTGTACACAATCGAAGCTGTGTAGACATCAAGATAAATGGGTTGGATTATAGTTTATAGTTTTTTATCAAAGGACTAATTTGTTAGATAGTAGTCTAACTGGAGGGCGGTTAAATAACACATGTAACATAAATAATGCGTTTGATCAAATGGTTGACTTTATTTTTGATATCATCTAATTGAATGTCAATTAATTATTTGTTTCGCAAGGAAATTACTTAAAAACGATACTGCTGTGCTTTCTCTGCTATGTAGCTGCTAACATTCATCCAGTTGACGTATTTCACAATTTTGTTTTTGTAGTTATAGCAGAAATTGACCAATTTAGATTTAAATCCGTTCTTGGAATTATATAGTACAAGTATCGTTTTTAATTTATATTTTTCATTTGCTTGATTTATTTAGAAGAGAAATCATTATTTGAAATATCCAAATTTGTGCACAATTTTTGTAATATTTTGGTATTTTTCTGTTATTTTATTTTTTACAATGGAAAAACAATTAAAGTATATTACATTTGTTGTTCGTTTTTTAAATTTTAAGAATAAAACTTTTAGATTTTTTAATAAAATATATTTTGTAAAACGTTCTTGTTAATTTGTATGATTTATAGCTATAACAAGTTGATTTCAGTAAAAGGAATTTTTATTAGAATTTTTTTACACGCTTTGGTCATATATCGACAAGAAATCGAGGAAGAAATTTTAAGACACATTTAAGTCATTTTATATCATTTATAACATTCGAAAGTAATCTTTATAACTATTTTCGGATCATCAATTACCAAGTCTTATCAACCGTGGCACAGGATTATAAACGCAATTGAAAGATGGTATAGTAAACTGAATAGAACTATTTTAAAACTTTCCCAAACATTTTTTTTCCTCTAAAAGAAGCAGTGTATGACGATGTGACGCAATCCGTTTAACTGCAACGAACTCACGTTTGTAAGGGGAAAAGATACATCTAATTAAAAGTATACTACTTCAATAATTTATTCTTAAAATACTAGAATTTATTTACACTGCAAATATTTAACTTTAGTTGGAATTAACATGTAACAAAAATGTACACATTGGACTTGAGAAAGGAAAAATGTGATGAAGATGAAATTTAATAACGTTCAGTTGTGTGAATTAAATCATTAACGGTTTTATTACAACAATTGCTTTTTAATTTGTCAACCTACAGAATACTTTTAAAACCATAATTTTAATAGTACGCCATAAAATTCTAAAAATACTTCAAGTAAAAACTCATTTTACCTTCAGACTAATTTACAAATGGAAGACAAAGCGCAGAATATTAACATAAAGAAATTCTATTAATTTCCAAAGGACTCGCTGGAAGTTATAAACAGTTTTACGGTTTCTGTAAAATTAAAACAATATATTAAAGTGATTGTCCGGTTTTAGGTTGCAATGAATACTGTAAATTAACACGCATTCATAATAAGGAAATTATAATTAGAAAAATAATAATATTGGTCTGAAAATATATTATAATTTAAGACGGAAGAACAACTTTCTTAGAAAATATAATTAAAAGGGAATTATTAAATCCAGATATTAATTTATAATCTCGAAAAGTATGTACGAATGCTCTTTTAGGTTAATCTGGGACAAAACGAGAACGAACCGTTGTGGATGTTTGTTGAAAAGGGATTAAACAGATTATGAGCTGCTATTAAGACGTCGTTATGACCGATGGGAAAAAGGCAGTAAACTTGGATATAAGTGTTTAGCAGTGATGATGATTGGGATACGCGCAGATTGGTAGAAAGCCATTCTCCGGATTCGGTTGAATAAAAAAAATAGGTACTTTCAGTGTTCGAAGCAACTAAGCTACCCGCGAACGGCCAGACTTGGAGTGCATTAAGAGGTGAACATAACATGTTATTTCGATGGGCGACCAATGCCTGATAAATTGGAAACGCACTAAGATATTGTAATTGCGATTCATTAGAGTATTTGACTGACATTGTACATAAATTCAAATGGTTTCCCATGACTGCTGACAGTCGGCCAAGTAAAATTCTAAGCTACAAGTAGTGTCAGCCAAAAGTCCGCCGATAAATTCATAGGAAGTAGCAGTAAATATAATTGCACCTCGAGGTTAGTTGGGGGAGTGTAGTGAATGCACATAGCCAGACGCAAAGCCCTTTTGATTGCGCTTGGATATGAAATTAACGAAAAAAAAAAAAAAAATCCAGCATACTTTTATAGTAAAACGGAGCGGAGAAAATTGCAGAAAAAAAAACTGCCGGTTACTTTGACCTTATAATAACGTCATTGAAAATTAAAGCGGAATAACAGTTGTCAAGTCACGTCTCAGCAAAGGTACGCGGTCAGTTTGATCATCCTAAAAATGTGACATAAGAGTTGATGAACCCAGAAGAGTTTAAGATAAAGCACAAATTTAAATTGCCATTTTTAGGGTAATTCCTGGTAAAATTGTTTTCCAAATTATTTAGGAGAGTTTTTACAGTAACCCAATACAATTTTAAGTAGGGGAAAGGTGGGTGTAATATATTTGTTTGTGAATTCCACAAAAAAAAAATACCTTGAAGGTAAGACATTAGACGATGAATATATCTTATAACCAGCTGATTTATCAATAATCGTTTAACAGTTATCTAGGTACTATCTATTTCTCCTTGTCGCCATTCCATTTCCCCCCTCTCTCCTATCCTGTTCTTCCCTACCACTTCCCGAATTTTGCCTTGCCGTCTACTTCAAATATACTTTGGTAAAAAAAAGTGTTTGACATTGTCCTCTAAACGTTTAGGAATTTAATAACGAAAAAAATTGTCCCCACATCTCCACTCCAGGTAAAACAATTTTAGGGACATTATAATACTATAGGTTTATCGCCTAAGGAAAGGAAACAGAATTATTACTTACATTCCTGTACTTGTTCATCTATTAAATGTTCAATACAACATTGATAGATTATTATTTTAATACCATTTGGCGATTACTGCAAATGATTAATGACCAACTAATATTGGAAATTATTGGCTTAGGACAATTTTCACTTAATCATTTCCACCCGAATTGCTTCCCGAATCTAAAAAGATGGACTATTGTTTTACTCAAAACCGCCTCGATAAGATTATAAGGACAAACCCACGATATAGACAGCTTAGAAATGATATATTAATATTACTAATTACATCAACAATACCAAACGAATATATTGAAATATCTTAGAAAACAAAAATAGTACCGTTCTTCATAGTTTCACGTCGAAATTAAAATAAATGAACTTAAAAAGGTAAATCAATTACAACATAATACAAATGTAACTCTAAATACTCATACGTAATGTTTTTTTTATTAATTTGTCATTACTTAATAATTTTGATAATGATTGGTGTATTTTAATTAGATGTTCTAGTAACTAGTTTTAATTTAATCCGCCCATCGATTAATATTCAGTTAAGGCCACGATCAGCTAAATAACAATTATTACCGCTAGAAATTATTATTGTTATCGTTACAAGCCGTGTACAAATATTTCAATGTAACACTTAAGAGTTTAGTCTTTATTAGTAATTGTACAATATGTACGATACTTATTAAAAACAAAATGGACGTTTCGCGGTCAGCATTATTTCGGTTATACAGGAAACGTTTTTTTTTTTTTTTTATGTACTCGGATAACTCACGAATAATTGCCTAGCCGGGTATAAACAAAATTACATTCTTTAATTATATTATATTCTTAAAATCTAAAGAACAAGACGTGATCATATTACAGCTACAACATTCCTTGTTTAGTCGGACCAGAATTTTAATTTTTTTTTAATAATATTTCACTCGAATTTTGACGGATTTTCATGTAAGGTTTGTGTGGCTTTTGTAATAATTATTATTGTAGTCCTTAAAACTATTTCTGAAATATATTTCTATCGAAGAGTGAACGCTATAAAACAGGCCTGCTGTATTATGTGGGGTTATAACGTACATGTACCGTGGATGTATAATATGTATGCCTTTACGACGGTGATTTGGGGGCTCTAAAAATGTAAGTCAGTAAATAAATCTCATTTTTTTCATTACATGTCCTTAAATATACAACGTATTTTATAAACCTGTTATTATAAATTATACTTCATATATTACAAAGAACCTGATACTAAAATATATATATATATATATTTTAGCTTCGGTGCGGAGCTGAGAAGTTATTGTTTACCTGATACTAAAATATATATATATTTTTTTTTGGCATTGAATCGATCATAAAAAAATTCACAAACGATTTATGTATGTTTTAAACAGTTGATATTCAGCGTTGAGTAGCATATTAAGTATACACATAGGTGGTAACTTCAAATTACTAGACAAAAATGAATAAAGATACTACTTACTGCTGTTATTCTAGCTAATGAATTTTGTTTATATAAAATATTTATTTAACTGCTAATTTGTAGTTATCGAGTTGATAAAAAAGGCCAATTTAAAAACAAATTAAAAATTTGTTTTCAGGTGATCGACAGGCAGATTAAAAAGAAATCGACTGGATAAGTATAATAATTCTGTCTACACATTATTATTATTACTTAGGACGTTTTTTACTACTATTACACCCACTCGAACAGCTGTTTGAACAATATGAAAATAAAAAAAATATACATAAACTAGCTGGCAGGTGGGAAGTGTAAT